TTCGGTTTTCTTTTCCAGTTGATTCTCAAGTACTCCCACAACCCTAAAACCCTACATAACCCTAAACAACCCTTTAATTCAAAGGACCTGTGATCTCCATTTCATGCTCCATGTCCTGTATTTGCTGTCTGACCCCCCTCACCGTCGTAAAGTGGATCTAATCTAAACCCTTGATCCCTAAACCCTTCTGCCTAAACCCTGAACCCTACACCCTCATCCTCAAACCCTAAACTCTCTATACAACCCCCCTACGCCCGGTTCTAGGGACTTCGTTCTAAGCCGCCCGACGCTGGCAGCGGAATCACCGAGGAGATACAGGAGCCCAGTGCGGAGTTGTCCTTTCAAGCGGTTCAAGGGAATAGAGGGTTTAGGTTTTAGGGTTTGTGCTTCAGTGTTCTGGGCTCAACCCTAAACCCTAAGCTTTTGAGTCAAGGGTCCAGGGCTCAGGACTGTTCAGGGTTTAAAGTCTAGGGTTGATTCACGAAGCACGGCACGGCCGCCCACGCAGCCTGTTCCCTGTTCCGCAAACGAGTCCCTGTATGACTCGAATGTAAAGGCTGGATAAGTTGCCATATCACCCCTAAAAAATGGATTTTCCAAGACAAAACTTACATATCTGAAGTAGAATAGGCCCCAAAGCCCTGCTCTAAGTATCTAATCCTCATGCCCCAAACTCTGTAGAATCCGTACTGCAAAGTTCTGAATCATTGCCACTATCACGTTGATATCTATGTGAAATGTCCAATACCATAGGCATTCGAGGAATCTAGGACCATCATGTTGGCAACTATGATGATAAACGCTGGGCGCAGCTTGCATTTCAATTTCCATTACTTTCCCTTTGACTCTCCATGATTGGTCATTAATGAGGCCCTTGCCGTATCTGCAATATCTTTCAAACTTGAGGCTTAAGGTCCCTCTGTGTATCCAAACCCCAAACCCTAAACTCCAGGAACCCTAAACCCTAATGCCTAAAGCTTAAACCTGAACCGGATGAAGCCCCTACATTTTCTCTGTCAGATCCTCGGAATCCGAGCCAATGTCCGAAGCCATACGATGCCTGCCAGGAGCTCGGAGGTCACAGGTTTAGGGTTTAGGGCCTAAACCCTAAATGGGTGGTTGTCAGAATTATGATCCCTTTTTGGGTACCCCAAAAATTAGGTGCCGTAGTTTCATAAGGATCCAAAAGGGATCATACTTTTGACAACCACCCAAAATAGTAGTTTCCGTTTTCTTTTCCGTTATCCCCAAATTACCGCAATATTACCCGAATATATGAAGTTTATGGGACCTTTTAACTCAGTTGCCAAGCCTTACCTCCCGAGTGTTTCAGATTTAGGCCTACGAGTTTATATAGGGTTCAGGGATAAAATTCTTAGAGCTTCCGTAACCTGGACACCCAAGCGGCTGAGGAGGTGAAACGCCCAGCTTTGATTTCTATGCAGACCATAATATGGGTGGTTGTCAAAATTGTGGTCCCTTTTTGGGTACCCTGAATATTAGGTGCCGTATTATAAGAGGGATCCAAGAGGGGACCATAATTTTGACAACCACCCATATGTAGGAACCCGCAAAAAAATGAGAGCGTCGTTCGTGATCCTCCTGGACATCGTGGAAGCTAGTAACAGTGAAGGACAATGGTGATACTACGACCATGCTTGGGGTACTAGTAGTCATACTTGCAGTGGACACCAAAGTGGAGGATGCTAGACACCACGTCGAGCCACAGCTTGGCAGTGTGGGCGTAGATGTGGTCCAAAATGCTCTTGAGAGCCTCACAGGCACATGTCTTCTCACTTTGTAGGGCTGGTAAGAGGCCACATGCTATCTAGTCCAAAGTATGGAACGCCTGGGTGGGCCCTAGCCTTTGAGTCTCTATAGGCCCGGCCTCATACGAGGATTCTGGCAATCCCAACGCCAAACTTGGGACGCTGCCACAGTCATGGGATATCTATAGGGTTCTGGCTTTGGGGGTCATACGACTATAACAGGGTCCTAATTCGGGAGGTTGGGGTTACCAAAAATCCTCTCATCACAGCCTCCGCATTGAAGGTCAGCTGCCGTTCGCTGGCTGTAGGAAGCGGCTGGCGCACTGCCAGCTTGCCCTTGTCCTGCAAGCACACGGGAGCTTGCACAACTGTAGGGCATATGCAGATATTATGCGGGACATGGCGCCCAATGATGGAGAATGAAATGGAAGAGACAAAATGGAAAATGAAACGGAAACTGGGACTGTGTAGTGATCTCGAGGGATTTAAGGGTTCCAAAAATTACAGGTCCTTCCTTGGGGTTCCCTATAATAGCATGGTCCCTGGTATATTGGAGGCAATTTATCCTAAACCCCAAACCCAACATTGGAGTTATTAGAAGAGGACCATGTTGCAACTTAGCGACTTAGCAGGCATCGACCTGCCTTGTGAGCGTTTCTCAGAATAGGTAGCTGCGGCAGCTGTACCCTCAGAGGCTTTTAGGGATAAGTGCAGATTGCAAGCACCCCTACTTGGTGCTTTGAGAAACACCCTAGTGATTCGTGGTAGGGAATAAGCGTCAATAATCCGAGAATAATCCCGATGTAATATTGTCCCTCAGTCCCTGCGAACCCCCAGTAAGACACCTAAACTGTGAACACCCTAAACCCTACACCGCTGGTGTTTAGCCCGGGCCTGTGACCAGCGCGCCCGGTTGAGCTCTGCGCGGCGCCGCGCAACTTCACGCTGCAGCTCTCCACTGACTTCCTGGGAGATCCTCAGCATCAACAGGAAGCAATGGGGATTAATAGGGAAAAAGGGATTATATTGTATGGGGTTTATATAGGGAGTATAAACCTTTATTCTTTACAAAGAACTTTAAGAAGATTTCATGCTAGATTTCGACAGGGCGCCTTGACGTCTGTTTGAAGTATCCTATACCATAGTCATACAAGGAATCTAGGAATCTACCATTGGGAATTCACCCCCTGTATAGCCCCAGGTTTCATTTCATGTTCCACGTTCGTCTCAATTTGAGTCTCCATTCATAGAGGAAATCCGTTAAAATCCTGAAACCCGCAACCCTAAGCCCAAAACCTTAATACCTAAACCCTAAATCCTAAGCCTTAAATTCCCCAAACCCTTTAACCCTAAACCCTAAACCCTAAATAGTAGTTTCCATTTGATTTTCCATTATCCCAATATAACCCCTAAACCCTAAACCCTCATTAAGCCATCTACCTGACATGTTGCCAAGAGGCTCGCGGTCAAAGCACCCGCGATGGCCCAAGACGGCCCCGGCCATTGGGCCCAGCAGACGTTCCAAGCCTTACTTGAAGGTCCAACAACCAGGGGCTCATGGGGACATGTAGGGATAGGTTTAATGTTGACATACCATTAATAAAGGGGATGACAATAGCATTGAGTTGCCCGGAAAAATCCCGGACAATCAAATTTGCTTTCTAACAAGTTTTTAGCCC